CTAAAACTTTTTGCAGCTTAGTTTCCTGTTGGTGAGACTGTGAAAGGCCTCGTGTTAAGTTTTTTTTTTTTCTTTTTTTCTTGATTTTTCTTCTTTTTACAGGAAAAGGAGCTTTAAAATCTCCGTTCTACTTATGTGATAAGGTATCTCTTCAAGTTTCTTAGACCACATTAAAAATACCTAGTCTAAATCATACGTGTTGTGGATCATGGCTTTTGGGACAGCTCCAGATAGGACAAAGGCAACAGGACAGCTGGGCTTAGCCAAGCTTTAGGAACCTTGCTTGGCTCTTAATCCCTCACCTTGACATGGTTCCCAGGCAAAACGAAGACATGTGGTCTATAGTGTGCTCTCCAGCTTAGATATGACAGGATTTTGGTTTCATTACTGTCAATCTGAGTTGTTCTATGGAATGTAGGTGTTGTCACGCTTATGGAAGCCGTGTTTATTCAAAGTGCAGTGAAGTCTTCCCTTCATAGGATATTTAACATCAGAACCATTTACCTCGGGAACCATGAGGAACAGTGTCACCTGAAATACTTAATTCAGGATTAACTGCCTTTGTGTATAATACAACTGATTTAACTTCTAGCTATAAATTTGCTGAGGGAGGCCTTGGGTGAATTCTCTGGTTTGTGTTATTTAGGTGGTTAGGCTGATGCTTTGGGGCTCTTGTGCAGCCTCAGCCCGTCAGACTGTGAGCCAGTGCAGTCTCTGTACTGTTAGATGAGGGTGCTGCCTGCCTGTGCTGTAGCTTTTGCATTTACTGAAGGTTTTGGGACTTCATTTCCAGAGATATCTGGGGTCATCTTGATTTCTAAATTCACCCATTTAATAAAGTTGACTACATTTTTTAACAGTTTTGGTGATCTTCCCAGGCAGTTTACCTCTTTATTGCATTTGACAAGATAAAAGTTGATTTGGCAACATAAAAGATGTTGGTTCTGATACTGAAACAGCTTTTCACACAGTCTCATTGTGACTTTTGGCAGGGCCAAGCTGATAAATCTACCAAAACAAAGAAGAAAATAGAGTAAGAAAAAGACTTTATTGTATTCAACCAGAAATAGTGTTTGACTTTCATATATCTTATTAGAGGCTTAAACAGAAAAGTTAGAAATTACCTGTTTAGTATTCCAGTCTTGTTGGATGCATTTTAAAACCTAAACTAGTTAGTGTGGTGAATGAAAACAGGACCAATGTGACCTAAGAATTATTGAGGTGAAATTTTGAGCCCCTGGCTTAGAAAATTGATCCTATGAAATTGGATTAAGTGTGATAGGAATGAAAACAGTGAAGTTCTCAACTCCTGCAAATGTCTTACTTTTAGGAGAGGATTGGGGGAGCTGCTGTAGAGCCAAACAGAAATGGGCTTTAATATATTGCATTGCATGTGGAAAGTTATTGTATCTTTGATATTGATACTGAAATAGAGAAACTGGAGGTGATTTCTTCTGTGCAGCTGTGGAATACTCAAATGTTCAGAGTAACAGAGGCAGAGCAGTTCTCCTTCTGTATTAAATGAGTAGTATTTTTTCCTGCCTGCTGCAGATTTATGCAGTTCACACCTTAAAAAACAAAATCTGGGCTGGATCTCCACTTGATGGAAGCTCGAAATGTTTGTTGCAAAATGCCTGACATATACAGGGTTTGGCATTGGATTGGGTTTTTGGGTGTGTTTTACATGGTAACAAAAATTCCCTAATTAGCTGCTTTCCCTCTGCTTTCTAATTCTTTTCCATATATTTGTGCACATAGACATTGTCCTGTTGTTGCTCTACTGCATGTTTTCTGGGTATAGTTTTGGAGTAGTGACAAGTAGTGACATTAAGAGAGTTGCTTGCTTTATAGATTGTTCTTTGTGTTTACCAAAATGTGGGGTTTTTTGTTTGTTTGGTTTTTTTCCCTGATGATATGCTGTGTTCTGGTTGATGAAAGCAAAGCTAAGATAGAGTAGAATAAATTACTGAAGTGTAAATGCTTATCAGTGTGCCCTGTACCTTGAAAAACAACGAGTCTTTTCTCAGGGACAAAGGGAACAGTTTTCTGCTAATTTCTAAAATTACTAATTCCTAAAATGGTTAAACCACTAATGTTATTTTAAAAAATATATGGAGGAGCACTATTACTACACTGAATTTTCTGTGTTTGTATTCTACACTTCATATAGAAACAACATCACATCTCTCGACCCAAGAGATTTGGGCACTGGGCTGAAACTTTTTGGGTTGCTTTTGTCCTGGGCGAGTTTCCGTGGGTTCTTGAAGGATGTGGTATGTGCTGTTCCCAGCAGTGGTACTCCTGAAGTACTAAATGAACAATTGTTTTAAAAATGTGGTCTGTGGGCAAGTCTGGAGTCACCATGTTTTCTTCCTCGTTTGCCATCCCTGGGAGCTAAAACTGGGCATTAATGAGAAGCCATTTTGCCTCTAGTCTACACCTGGGAGAACAATTTTTGGGGAGTGAGCTTCCAGTTTGTTTTAAATGGGATAAAGGAAAGGGAAAGTGTGTTAGTGCAGGCCCTTTCCTACTTTAGTTCGTTCATTTGTACATTTTTTTATTAGTTTTACCAAGTGAGTTGCAATAGCCACAGTCTGCAGTTATTCAGAGATTAGAAACAAAAGTGTTTTATCCTGTTGGTGAAGCACCTTCAACCCAGTAGAAATCTTCAGCGGTGGACTCCATCACCACAGCTCCTGGTAACAAAATTGAAAAGTTGCTTGTAAACTGCTTAGTTACATCTTTTGAATTTCCAGCATTTGTTTTAATAAATAGAGGAAGTAGTTTGTGTTAGTGGTGAAATGGCAAATCATGCAAGACTGATTTTAGCACTGCATGTTATTGCCTACCTTGAAGTCTTTATTCAAAGGGTGTGTTTAGTGACAAAGGTAATGCTCTAACAGGAAAATGCTGAACATTTATCTTTATAGAAAGGGACCCCTATGATCTCTTTAATTTCCTGCTCTAACTCTCATGAAAACAAAAACAAATCAGTCCTTACACAGCCTTCAGTCGAAGCAATGCATGTAAATAGAAATTAAAGCCTTCAGCAGCTTGTGTGGTCTGTAGACTGATTTGAGAAGCCAGAAGCAATTAGCTCTCCAAGCATAAATGTCTGCAGGAAGAGACCCTGTTTCTGAACAGTGCATGTGGGAACGCAGGCAGAAGGTTTTTGACAGTAGTTTGCTTATGCCAAGGATGTGGGCAACTTCGTTGGTGTCTTTTGGGCTTCAAAGTCCCTGGTGACTTGTTTTTAATCTCAACATTCTGATAAGGTGTCAGTGATCCCCCGTGTCATCTGTGTCAGCATTGCTGTGCTGTTGCTGTTTTTCAGGTGACAGAACCATAAATGATCAAGACAGATCTCGTGCCAGATGATACAGCCAATAAATGCTTTTGCTGAAGGTTTTGTAGAACTGAAGTATGGATAAAATAAGGTTTTATGAAACGTACTGAAAGTCTGTAGTGAAAGGATGTCTGAAAATGATGGGGCAAGCCCTGTGTTTAGCACAAACCAAATTAAAAAAGGAAAAAGAGTAGTCAGGTCTAAGCCCTTAATGGGCCTGGCTGGAGCAGTATCATCACCCACTTCTAACATCTGCTGTTTCAAAAGTCAGTGGTTTTGTTTAAAGGATTCTGCCTGAAATCAGACTTGTTTTAAATGAGTCTTTAGACTTTATTAGGTGTGTGCTGCATGGCTTGGTGAGCTGTACTTGGTAAAAAGATTGTTTCATAGCCAAAATGCCAAAATCTTCGCTGGCAGTCATGGATTTTGAGGTGCTTTTGATTTTTTTTTTTAATTGTTTTCTTGTTTTAAAGAGCATTCCCTATGATCTTATTATCAGGTATTTTTAAAACAACCTGTCCACTTTTTTCCGATTTCAAATTTGTTTTGCCTGTTGGATTTTTTCTTTTTTTTGGAGAATAAAACATTTTTAAGCTTTTATGTTTGTACTTCTGGGACAGAATTCTGGGGGGTTTTTTTATTTTTTTTTTTGATCTCCTGTGGAATTGGTGGAGGTATCTTATCCTTTTCTTTATTGTACTTACATTCTCTCTGCCTTCTCCATGCCTGGTAAAATAATAAGGATGTGGTCTATTCTTCCTCATCAAAATCACTAGCAAAAAAGACTCCATCCCAGCAGTGGTCTTGTGAAAACCTAGCTGTGTATGTTTCTTCATTATGAGAGCACAAATATTAGTAATTTTGTCATTTGTTTAAATTTCATTAACTCTGTAAGTTCATGTGATTTGTAAAAATACCAACCAAACAAAACTGATTACAGATTTAGCTTGTTATCCAGAACAGGGTCAAGAGGATTGTTATTATTGTAAGGACACATCAGATGGCCTTAGAAGATGATTTTTCTAGTTCTTATATGTTGGTGCCAAGACTTGATTATAGTGGCACAATATGCAGGAATGTTTCATGAATGTGTACTGTCAGCACTGAGGATTGGTGGGGCATGTTGGTTTTATTCTTCCCGTATTTTGCTTTATGTTGTGTTTTGTAGTCTTAAAATCATTCTCCCCTTGATAAATAAGCAATATTGGGAAGATGAAAAAGGGTTATGTTCAGCTTCTACCTGGGATATGTGTTAGTTTAATTAAAAAATGTTTATAGATACAACATCAACAAAAAAAGATTTTAACTCAAAACTGGTGATGTTTGCTGTACTGCTGAGTGTGTGCCTGAAGTGTGAGTAAGTAAAAACCTCCTTGTATTAATATTCTACAAACTTGGAACAATATGAATTCTCCAACCAAAAATAAGTTGTTGGGATTTTTGCTGTCCTGTTCCATTGAGCTTTTTGAAGCCATAATGAAAGTTGGCCTAAGCAACATCTGACTGATATTTCTGCTTGAGAACAGAAACAAAAGCTGAGCAAAGGTGTTGCATGGAGAACAGGAATGCTGCTCTGCAATGCTAAGTAAAACATAACATTTGATTTCTGAAGACAAAATTATTTAGTTGGGTTTTGTTTTTATTTTTGGTACAGGTCATTAACGCTGCTTTAGCTCTTGCTGCCAGACCAAAAAGTCAAGTTGTGAAAAACAACATGGAGATGTATAGGAGTACATGGGAGAATCACATCCATGTTCTTACTGAAGCTGTGGATGATATAACAAGTATTGATGATTTTCTTGCTGTATCAGGTATGATAATTTTCAGAATCTAATCATTCCTTTATGTGCTTTGAAAACTTTTCATCACTTGTCAGTAGGAAACCAGGGGAAGATTAGATTGTGTGAGGTTTTGTGAAACCATTGCTTGTGTTTAAAATGTCCCCACACACTGGATATTTCTGCTCTGCACAATGTAGAGCTGGGTGGAAGTTCCTTGAGCAGATCAGCTGCAGGGAGTGCAATGGGTGTGACAGGGGCACGTTTGTGCATCCTCACAAGAGATTCATCTACCTCTTCAGATTCAAAATCCTCTCTGGAGCTGTGAGAATCTCCTTCTAAGAGAGGAAGTACAGATGAGTGTGCATACACCTTAAACAGGACACTCTCCTGTTACTGTGGAATGCACAGTAGAATTTGTGGAATTTTCCATGTTACAAATATTTGTTACACAAACTGTACTTGCAGATCTCTTCAGTGAAGAGACCCTTGATAGTAAACTGTAGTTACTGAAGCAGTGAGTGTCTTCAGCATTTAAACAGAAGATAGAAAACAGTTGCTTCATTTCTTACAGTTGAAAGATCCCAGTTCTGAAGGAAGTTTCCTCCCTCAGTGATGAAAAGTATTCAACAAAAGCATTTCAGTTGCACTGTTTTTCTGTGTTGCTCCTGCTAACATACACCTTCATGTGCATAGCCTAGAAATCTTTAATTCTGAAGGACTTGTAAATCTGTATAATTCTACCTTTTTGACTTCTCTTAAAGTAGTGTAAACTGGGAAGGAAGGAAAAATTTGCCTCATGTTCATTAAATGTGGTTTAACTTCAGTGTTTCTTTATGGTCAGTGGACCCTGTGCTTTCCCATTTCTCTCTGGGCACATCCTTTGGGCTTAGTTCCATTTTTTAGGATTATTTGGTTTATGCAGCAATGTGGAAAATGACTGCAGATGTCAATAGTTGGAAAACATTGTAAATAAAGTCAGAACTGAGTTCAAGTTACGTTTCGCTCGTTAAACATGGGGGTAGACTCTGTCCTTAAAGGGAGACAGAGCTTGGGTATTTATTGCTCTGAAGTTTATTTGGGTATCTTCAAAAATATCACCTCTACTGTGGTGACTGGAAGCTGCTGGACTGGAGTCCCAAAAACTTGAGTGGTGGTTTTTTTCTTGTGATCAGGGTGTGGATATTACAGTGCAGAAACCATAAGCAGAGATGCCTGTTCAGGCCCTTTCTGGGTCTGCTGATGTGGGATGCAGACTTTTCCTCAGGGCATGGAAGTTCTCCTTCCTTTACAGTGGTAAAAGTACCTAGCAAGTGATTTAGGTTTCACTGGAGAAGAATTTACTGGAAACAGTGCTATTTGATTATCCACTGAGTTACTCTCCTACAGGTATCTCAGCATCTTAGTACACAAAAACATAACCTGAGGATTACTTTTTCCACTTATGAACCTTCCTGTTGCTTTTAGGACAAATCTTTCCTGTTGGGGTAAAACTGAAATTTCTGCAGGTGTTGCTGGAGCTGTCAATGAAGAGATGAAACAAGTCAATTGCTAATGAATTTAATACATGAATTTCTTTAACTTACTATGAAATCTCCTCAGTTTTAAAATTCTTCTTTGAAATTCATTGAGCAAAGCATCTCTTTTAAACTGTGCAGCTATGATTCATTTAAATGCCACATTTCAGATATTTTTTTTCAACATTTCCTTGACTCGAAGAATAAAATTAGGCATTCCAATAATAACTGTGGAAAAAAAAAATCAGTCATCAGGTGGCTGCTCATTGCAGAGTAGACTCATGGCTTTTTGCTGTATTTTACATTCTTTGGTTGAACACAGTTGAATGATTGACAACATTTCACAGTGAGTAAAAGCAGAACCTGTAACTCAGGTAGCAATGATGTGTGGGCCTAAATGTGATGAGGCCCAGAAAAAGTAAATATTCATGTATTTTCTTTAAACTGTGTGCAGAACATCTTTTGTAAGCTTTGGTAGAACCTTCTGGCACATGTTAATTTAATTGGTTTGAACTTCAAGTGTCAGGCTCGTTCTTAGAGGATCTGCTGAGTAGATTTTTCCCTTTGGGAAGACTTCTTTTTTTAAATTTTTATTACCTTCATATACAAAGAAGTAATGAGTAATTGTAAGTACAAGCCACTCTTGGTCTACTCCTCAGGGTGTTAGCACCATTACTGTGTTCTGAGGGAGCAAAGCATTCACATTGCTCTGAGTAGATAGAAGAGTTGTCTAAATAGAAAAGTTAAAAGTGTCTAAACAGCAAAGTTAAGTGTAATAGAAGGATAGTATCTACCTTTTCCAGAAAAGTGATTAGGAAAGATAATGTACATTGAGTGTTTTGTGTCACGCTTGAGATGAAAGGAATACCAGAACTGGTTCATAATGGGTCTGTTCTTTCTGCAGAATATAGTATTCTATGCCACATGGCAACATGGGAGAAAAATAGTTTTAAAATAACATACTTTCAAAATGGATACTGAGCTCTTTTGGGCAGCTCTTCACATTTGGGTTGGATGGCTGAGTTTGCAGCCCTGACCGACTTTGCATCTTTCAGGTTGGCGAGGGAAGTGATTAATACTGGAGTGCTAAAATTGTATTCAAAATTATAGTTAACTTCTTTGTAAATACAGTAAACACACCTTCCCTAGTAATTCTGGTGACTCAGAACTCTAAATCGTACAACAGAATTGCCTACTTTTCAAGTTTATTTTAAATTGCATCTCTGACGGATTGATATGTCAGATTTTTCTACCAGGTGCATCATGTAAACCACAAAATACATATTCCCAACTTTAAACAGGTTTGGAACGTACATTTTGTATGAACTTTTCACACAGCATCACCTGAGCTTTGGACGACAAGTAAGATGTTATTAAGATGAGTTGTTCTGGGTTACTTTTGGCTGAGTTTCTCCTGTGGGCGTTTCCAAGGTACAGTGTAACTCCCTTTAGTGTCACCACAAAAATTTTGCACTGAGCTGAGTGGCAAGTGGGTTAGTCCCTATGTTTCTTGAATCCAGACTTTTATGTTTCTGTCCTTAAAATAAGCTGAGTAAGGGAGCTGTGGGTAGAGGGTGGGAAGGAACTGAGCTCCCTATGGAAAGATCTCCTTGTGCTGTTTTCCAAGCCACTTGTGTGGTTGCCAGAACAGGATGTTTGTGTGTGGACAGTTCTGCCCCACTGTGATACATGTGATACTTCTCTGGTGTAGCACTGGGGGAAGGAGAATTCTGTAGCAGATCAAAAAGAGTAAATTGTGAGCATGTGGAAGGTTGGGTTTTTTTTTTTGTTCTTGTTGATTCGTCAATTTTTGGGTCCCCTCCCTTTTTTTTAAAATGCTTATAAATTACATTTAATAATAATAAAATGTATATGGTAATAATGCTGTTCTTACTTTTTGAAGTGTATTAGTCTTTCCTTTTCAGATTCACCTATCCTCATGGAATCAGGTTTTCTGTTTTGTTTTCATCGTGTTCTAGTCTTGCTGTTTATTCATATGTGTGTTCAAAGGAGAACTAGAACTACTGAAGAAAAAAACCAATGAAATCAGGCCTTTACAAGTGAAAAAGTGGTCTGATTGCAAATAGCTTAAGTGGAGGTCTACTCCTTATAAGGGAGAGCAAGAGTTAATGACTTGTATAGAAAATGTCATTGCAATTATGAGACATTATAAATGATGATACTGCTGTTCGTAGATTTGTTACACCTCGTAAGAACAGAGAATCAGTCTCAGCCTATCGGTTTTGGATAGTTAATTTATGCAAGGAGGAATGTGGGTATTAATCTTTACAACCCACTGACATTAGGTTTAAAAATTACTGTCATCCATTTATCACGACGATGTGAAGTCTCCAGATTCATAAATTAAAATGTGCTGTTGCATTTGATGCATGAATTTCCAGGAAACTAGTTCTGTTATGCTTGTAATTTCGTTTATGTTTGTAAATCCTAAGTTTTATCCTCAGCTCTGCTCTCATAAACTGACTCTTTATTGTCTGCTCCTACACTTAGGCTGGAAAAATAGTTTATGATGTTGATTCTTCTGTGTTATTTTAATAATTAAGTGCCTTAATAAACCTGCTGGATATAGATGGAAAATCTGAAATGTCGGTATTTCCTTCCTTTGTATGGATGTTTTCTGCTCCTAATAATGGTGTGTAATTGCAGTGACGTGTTAATTGCAGTTGTTAAATGTTTTAATATTATCACATGTGAGAAAACCAGTAAGAGAAGACTTAGATCTTTTAGTCCCTGAGTTAACTCAATTCTTACAAGGACGGTACAGGTAAGAAAAGCATCAAAAGTGTGTTTATATATACCAAATTCTCAGGACCTGTGGGTTTTTTTCCTTTCTGTTGTCTTCTTGAAAAGCTTGCATGGCAGACCCCTGTGCTTCTTTTCTATCCTATTCTCAATGTCCTTGCCCAAACTGTAATTATTTCATCTGCTGAGCCTTCTTTCCAACCTCCCCTATGCTGCCTTGAGTTTTGGTCTGTCATATTCCTGATATCACTGTGCTTAAATCCTTATAATAGTAGCTCCTCTTCTGCCCAAATGGAAGTTCCGTATTTTCATAAAAACATTTCCCTGTTCATTTCTTTTCTCATCCCTCCTCATTTGTGACTAAATCCCCATCCTGAAATGTATGCAAGTGTATGCAAATAACAGAGAGCCTTTCCTGTTGTGTAGTTACATCTCTGCTCTCTGCCCTTTCACATACCTTCTTAAAATACAATTTGTCTAAAGTGCATTTCGTCTCTTGTCATCTCCTCAACACCTTGAATTGTAATTTCTTTAAAGGTAAACGTGTAATAAGTCATTAGGTGCTGGGATTGTTTTGTCCAGTTTGCTGTCTCTCTACCAGAAATTCTGTTCCTTGCCATTTACCCGATGGAGTGATACAGGGAGTGCAATGACTTTCATGTCTGCCTCGGGTAAGGGTTTGTGTCACTCCCCTGTGCAGTTTTCCACTGCTAAACTGATAATGGTAAACGTGGACACAGGCAAATCAATCTG